AGTGAGAGATAATTACATTTGGATATATACATTTAGAAAAATAAATTTAAGATAATTATTCAAATGTATAAAAAAAAACATACGCGTATACATATACATATAAATGCTTAGAAAGATATTATGTGGGACAATCGAAATTTATTTAAAAAAAGCAAAAAGAAAAGAAAAGAAAAAAAAGGAATAGAATTGTTCTCGATATAATATTATTATTGTATTTTTTTTAAATAGAATTTTTTTAATCTACACAAACTTATGTTCATTATTTTTTTCTTTACTCAATTTAAAAATGTAGATTATTTGTTCGTTTGAATATAGAATTAACGAGCTGATTGGTTTAGTTGTAATAAAAAAAAAAAAAAAAAAATAAAAAAAAGAAATGAAACGAAGTTTTAACGTCTATGCATTTAATTGTAAAGTTATCGTAAGGTTACTTGAAAAAAAGAAAACTTTTTCGTCTGATTGTGCTAGAAAGAAAGAAACGAAAGAAAAAAGCATGGAAGAAAGAAAGAAATATTTTATTATGACGATACAAGAAACAAAATAATAATAATAATAATAATTAATAATTAATAATTAATAATTAATAATTAATAATCCACGTAACACGAATGTACGAAAATAAATAAATAAATAAATAAATACGAGACCGATCGCGAGACCGATTGATCATCAGAAAAAACCTCGATTAAATATTAATAATTTTTAACTAGTCAAGTGTGTTTTAAATGACCAAATAATATGAACAAAGATAAAAATATATATGCACGCACAAAATGCGTTTAGTAATTCGTTTGATTGATTGATTGATTGGTCGTTTAATTCAATTTTTTTCAGACTTTATTAGCACAATCCGGCTTTTCTTCTCTTATCTTAATAAAAACAAATCTCTACGTTTAAAAATAACGAACACATATATAAAAATAAGAAGATAGAAAAAAAAGAAATATTCGTTCTACCTTTTTTTTTCTTTTAAGAATAAAACCAACCATTTCCAACCCCATCACACACCCCCACCGTTTCCATATTCGTAACGTTTAATATTTTAATCGTTTATAATTGTATGTTTGAGTTAAATTTAATTCGATGCATTTTTATTATCCTCGTTTAAAAAAAACATATATTTCCATAAGATTTTAAATTGAAATTAAAGAAGAGTACGGGGGGTGGGAGGGGGGTTGGTGGAGTGGAGTACAGTTATGTCATCATAATGTTTTCTTTTTTCCCCCTTTTTATTTTGTAATACCGATAATGGGGTTGAAAGCTTTGTTAAATAGTATTGAAACATATTCAGTGCATTTATAAATAGATTTGCATGAATAAAAAACATAAATGAATAAGTATACATACTGATTAAATAAACACTAGCAATGCATTAATAATACTCTCATAAAGATAAGAAAATGCATCAAGATTATTAAAATGATTTTTCTATCGTACAACACACCACCCACCCACCACCACCACCACCACCACCACCACCGACCGAGGTTATCTTTTTGTTTTCTTTTTCTCTCTCTTTTTATTTGTTCTTCAATTTGTTCTGTTCTGTTCTTTTTTTTTTCTTTCTTTTCCAAACAAAAAAATATATTACTCGCATCGGTATAAAAATACCATCAGTAAAATAAATAACGTCAAACAAATATGTATATATAATTAATAAAACAACATTATATGATTTATTTCGTAACGAAAAAAAAAAAAAAAAAAAAAAAAAAAAAAGATAAAAGATTATTGTTTTATATTTTAATTGAGAGACAAAAAGTTAATTGACCGATTAATTCGAAAGGAATGAAATTATTTGAATAAAACAAAGAGACGACGACGCGATTTTATCGACAAACGTTATGGAAAATAATAGCAGTGCAGAAAAAATATGATGATAATTCTGTTAGATATTATTTTGTCCTCTCGGGGAAAAGAATGTTGCAATGCGCAAAAGCGAATAAATGATACTATACCACAGTCATGCGCTGTTCAGAAACAGTTCTCGGGATACAGGTGCGTTGTTTCTGCATTTTCTACAATCTGAATGACGCGTTTCATCGTACAACCCACTTCGTCAACGATTCAACAACGATAGTTCTTCAGTTTATCGTGTATCCTCGTAGGAAGAAGTTCTTTCCACGTTATCCTACAAATTTCTATTCGTATTCTATCACAAACGTGTTAATTCAATTTATTAATCGAACAACAACAACAACAACAACAATTTATTCTCTCATCTTATATTGAAATATTAACAAAATAAATCATATTTGTTATATAATTCGTTGGAAAGGATAATATTATTTCAAAAGTGTCGCGAACTTTTGTTTGTTTTTTTTTGTTTTACGATAAATTACAAAAATCGTGGAAAAGAATTGTAAGTAAGCGAGGATTTTTTTTTGGATTTTAAACAACCAAAGGATCGTTCATTATTTTATTTCACGAATATTCGAAATAAGGGACGAGTTACGTATATTTGGGATCAATTTCGAGCAGAATTTTGGATAAGTATTTCGTGGTAAGTTGAATTGATGATTTATCGTCGAGTAGTATTATGTGCTTCTTTGATTTTTTAGAATTTGTGTCCTAATTTAAATAACAGATATGTGACAACTTTGTTGCTTTTTTTTTAGTTCTAATCTATAACTATGTTACACGATAAAAATAATTAGAACTATCGAAAAGTTTTGCGATTACTTGGTACTAAAATTATTTTTTTTTTAAATTGAAACAAAACTTATAAAGAAATTTTATCGATAAATCTAACATCAAAGTGTATGCTAATTAACGTTTAATTATTTTACTATTAAAAAATACACCAAGTGCAAATCACAGACCTTATAACAAAAATAAAATATATATATAATTTCTATAAAAAAAAATAATATAATAATAATATATAATTATTAAGAGATAAATGAACTCGCGAACACGTATAAAGATTTGAAAAGAAATAAGTTTAGACTATCAATAAAAATAGTATCACGAACGTAAATTAACTATTACAACGGAATGCAATTAAAAATAGTATTTCGTTCATGAAACTGTGTGACGATTATAAATTTTGGAACGTATCGATTTTGGATTGAATCCAAAATCATTTTCGCTTACGTCTTAGCGTGCGTAAATGAAATTCTTACCTTGGATAACATAGATAAAAATCAAATACGCGATATATAAGATAGAAACAAACTGATCGATAAAAAACCAATACATATATACATATATATAACTATATTCTTCCTTCTTACGTATTTTTCTTTTTCTTGAATTAATTATAAACACACACACTTCCTCGTGATTGAACACGTGTGTTTCATCTGTGCACGTTTTTTACCTGTTCACATTTCGAATAATGCAACATGCATTATGCATGTGCACTGCAACGTGCTTTCGTTTTATTTATTTGTTTTGATTTGAAGATTCAAAACTATTCAACCAAATCTTGTGATACGAGTTAGGATACAAAAAAAATTGATAATTTTTTCCAAACAAATTTTTAAACAAATTACAAGTAAATATATGATAAATCATTTCAATCCACACAAACACACATTTATAATACAATTTTGTAGAATTGAGGCGTTTCCTTTTGGAAAGTACGAAGACCCTTAAGTATTGGATCGATAGATCTGCTGCCTATAACTGTTCTATAACTCTACTCACAATTCTAATAATTATGGTCAACCCATTCGTATTTGCTTGAATATTTCATCGATTTTTATATAACAGTTTGTTTTCAGTCTTACGAGGCGTGGCATTTTTATAAATAGAAATACAACCGAAATACAAACCGAATTTCTTGTTTCACATTTCCCAAACGTATAATAATATTCAAATATTATTATTAATACATACGTTCTCTCGAATAATTTATTTATTAATTTTTCTTTTCTTGCATTAGATACAAAAATAAAAATAAAAGGAAGTTATAAGTTAGGAGACCAAACATAACGTGCCAGTTTTTTCTTTCTTTTTTTTTTGTAAACGTAATTTTTGGATTCATTTTGGAATGACAATGATTTATATTTATGTAAAGAATATGTTAGATCTTGTCTTCATATGTGTATTTTTCGCCGATAAAAGCGGAGACGCGAAAATCGACCAAGTCGGTCGTCATGGTGATACCTCTTTCTCCCCCCCCCTCCCAGCCCCAACTCCAAAGCAAACGCTAAACTTCGGCCAATCAGCTATTCGATATGTCAGAGTAAATACAAAAAAGTTTTCCTGTATTATTCTTAGAAATGTATCAAAGAGATAAAAAGTAACGAAAATAATTTCTATCTTTATGTACAAATTTTTAAATCAATTTAAAAATAAGAGAACAAAATTAATAATTAATAATATTTTTTTATTTATTAAGAGAGATTTTGGAATGGAAAATGTTAAGATTCGTATGATGAAACGTCAGAATATTTGAAATTAGAATTAATATAAGAAAAATGAATGATTAATTTGTTGTATTTTCTTATTATTTTTCAGCTTATTAATAATATCTTCGTGTTCTATTTAATAAAATGTTTTTTCTTATGTTTTTTTGTTTTTCAGTAATTGCTAAAAGGAAATCAATAGAATTAATATTTGTATTATAATAATAATATAATTCTGTATGAAAATGATGATGCATGCGTTGTAAATACACATTGTAACTAATTTAGTAGATGCTAATGTCATACTTTTATACTTATATTTCTCTATTTTTTAATCTAATCATTAATTAATTTATTCTTTTAATTTAATTATTATTCGCTCACAATACCGTAAAGTGTCGCACGCACTTTCCTACGCACATACATGCTTGCACGTAGTTTTGTTTATGCACTACCTCGAGGGTGAGTAAAAACTTACAATTTTTATTATTTATAATATTTATAATTATATACTTTTATCATTTATAATGTTTATCAACTAATCACATAATATATTGTAAATAAAATTGTAAAATGTATGTAACAAATAACAGAAGTAACTAACATAAGAAAACATGATCGAATAAGTAAAGAATTTTTCAATTATTTCTAACGTTAATTGCAAAATAATTGTTGAACAGATGCATCGTTAAGAAAACACAAAAAAAAAACAAAAGAATAGGAAGAACAACTTGCAAATAATTTCACGACTTCTTTTTCTTCTTCTTCTATTTTCTTCTTTTTTTTTATTATTATTACAACGAATTTAAAAATGAACGAACGTCGCGTATGCAATGCAACTGTTACGCGATGATTAATAAGAAGTAGACATAATTGAAAGATAGTTTGTCTGTTGACAGTACGTACGAGTATAGACTACGAGAAAAACACTGACCCTATTGTCAACCAGTTGCATTGATAATTGCACATGCAATACAAACGAGAATAAACATATTTTATCTTGTTAATCCTTTCACTTAATTTCATTTATCATCAAACATTTGTTCTCTCTCTCTCTCTCTTTCTTTTTCATTTTTTTAATTTTACATTTGATTTCTAATAAACTTGATCTCTTTCGAATATTAATAAAAATGAAATAATAATAATAATAATATATAATAAATGGAATATATATATTTATTTCTAGGAAAATAGAAATCAAGGAAGAAGCGTGCATGCTGAAACAATCGACGTTCGAAATAAACGAGGAGGAAGGGTTGAAGGTCCTTATGGTAGGAGAAAGGTGTGCCAGATCTATTCCGGGCGAGATCCAAGGGCTGAAGGGCTGGCCCCGTCGTTGGATCCACTCGGGCAATAGTTATATTTAAAAGCCAAATAACAAATGGCAGATCGGATTAACATTAAACATACAGGGGATGATTCTGATAATGATATTAACAGATTACCGATGATATCATCGGCTAATTCGGATAATATTAATGATACTACTGATATTGTTGTTAACAATAATAATAACAACAATAATAACAACAACAACAATAATGTTAACGATAATAACGATCGAAGAACAACAGTAATGGCGTATTTGGAAAAGGATTTGATCAACAATCGATTACCAACTATTGATTCGAAAAATATTGATCCTAGGAATAATTATCGATCTAGAAGGGCACCCATAGTTGGTTGGCATAATGGAAGTCCTACGGTATTCCCAAGTTCCCCATGCAAAACTCCTGAACTTGATTTATACAGTAGAATTGATTTCGATGGTCCAATCAGCGAGATATCATCATCCAAAAGTTCTGGCATTTGTCAGGATTCCGGTAACACAGAAGATTTGAGTAGTTTGGCTGATGAAAGATTACTCGAGTCTACACCAGCAAGAACGATTGATAGAAGTATAGAATCATTGTCACCCGATAAGGATACACTTTTGACCATGTCACCTGATCATTTTGGTAGAAATCGTGTTTTGAGTTTGGGAGACGAATTAGGAGACAAGTTTGATTTTTTAAGTCCCGACACTGATGGTACGGATGACAATAGAATGTTTTCAACAACACCGATTGAATCAAGAAATAGTCCGATTAAAATTAATCCGAGAAAGGATGATACGATATTACCAATTATCATAGCAAATCCTGGATACCAAGGTGACGTTAAAGATATAAGCGATTTCGACAGTGCCGTTGATTTGGAAAATGATTTGGATTCAATCATCGAGGATAAAGAAATGAATAAGAAACCACGTATACCTGATGGTGGTTGGGGTTGGGTAGTTGTTTTAGCATCCCTCGTCATTTCAATGATTGCCGATGGAGTCTCCTTCAGTTTCGGTTTACTTTACATCGAATTTCTCAAAGAATTTGGTGCTAGCAAAGCGAAAACCGCTTGGATCGGTTCATTGTTTATGGCAGTACCATTATTATCCGGTCCTGTAATGTCAGCTTTGGTCGATCGTTATGGTTGTAGAAAGATGACCATAACAGGAGGTCTGATTTCTGGAATAGGTTTTGTTCTGAGTTGTTTTAGCGACACCATCGAGGTAATGTATTTGACTTTTGGCGTGATTGCGGGTTTGGGTTTAGGTTTGTGCTACGTCACTGCGGTTGTGAGCATAGCTTATTGGTTTGATAAAAAACGAACGTTAGCTGTAGGTCTTGGTGCATGCGGTACCGGTATTGGTACATTTGTTTATGCACCTATGACTACATTTTTTATTGAGGAATACGGTTGGCGTGGTACTTGTCTGATGTTAGCTGGCACATTCTTCAATATGATAGTATGCGGTGCTGTTATGCGAGACCCAGAATGGTGGATTTTGGAACAAAAGAAACAACAACAATTATCATCGCCGAGAAAATCCAATACAATTAAATCTGAACTCGATTGTGGTTCGTCGCATGCATTCTCCGATGAGTTTCCAGGTGTCGAGGAACTTAGGCAAATGTTGAAGACTGGTAAAACGGAATATTTACTTCAAAGTCTTGGTACTAGTACTGCAACACCCAATCGTGCTGCTACGCGTGGTTCTACTTTCCGAAGTGTCGTCAATTTGCCAACATTCGTCAAGGAATCCGAAAAGGTAGGATGTAAATTATAATTATTGATACGATAATAATATATAATAAGTAGAGTAAGTTTTAGAATTGTTTTTTTCTTTTTTTTAACTATTGTTTAACTTTAATGAGGATAAGCGATAAAAAGAAATATCTGTCTACGAGGATTTCAGGTGCCATTGGAAGTTTTAGAATCATTATCCGCAAATTCAAGACTCTACAATGTTATATTAGAAAATTATCCAAATCTTTTGAAGTGTCGTAGTCTGTCCGATAAATTAACGGACGATTCGTCAGTGATAGATGAATACAAGAAGACAGGTGTTACCATGACTATGAGGTTAATTGAATTTGTTTTTCAATACTACAATTGTCTTTGATTCGATGCAATATTTCAATCGTATATATTTTTATCAGAGTCAAGATGGCCGATGAGAAAACAAACCCTAATCAAATTCAAGATACGAACGAGAAGATTAATGGGGAGAAAAAGATTTTTCAAGAAATCGATGAAGCCAGTCATTTCATTAAAAAAGATGTTGTCATACCGGTAAGTATTATTTACGAAAAAAAAAATATATATATATATAATAATGTTAATGAATTATATTTTAAATGTTGAATGAATTTTTAAGATGACCGATACCGAAAAGGTAAAATCTAGACACCATATACCCGGTTTGACTGATGGTGTCGTCAGAACTGATTCCTTGCCATGGTTGAGAAGACAATTTAGCACAAATACGCATTACTTTAAAGACATAAGGGTACATAGAAATTCTGTCATGTATCGTGGGGCAGCATTGAATTTACAAAAGTATAGATTGAGAGCAAGCAGTTGTCCAAATATTTATAGAAACAGTATGACAACGTTGGCTAAGGAAAGCGAAGAGGTAAGAATCTACCATTTATAAAAATGAATTTCAAATCATACAACATTATATTAAAGTTATAATATCAATTGTAGAAATGGTATAGCGAATTGGTTAATTTGCTGAAAGGTATGATGGACTTTTCGATGTTTTTGGAGTTTCATTTTTTATTGATGTCACTATCAACGATATTATTGTTCACTTGGTTCATCGTGCCTTACTTTTACCTCGCTGAACATTTAACGAGGAACGGTTATTCCGAGTCAGATGGTGCTAATCTACTTAGCATTATTGGTATAACTAATACAATTGGAATGGCAAGTTGACAAGTTATAAACAAAAGGAATCATAATGAATTATCATAATTATAGAATTGTTATAATATACTTGATAATTTGACAGATCGGTCTTGGATGGGCAGGTGATCAGCCCTGGATGAACGTCAGCAAAACTTACGCCTGTTGTTTGGCTATATGTGGTGTATCAACAATGCTGATGTCCACGTTTACATTACATTACATACCATTGATCATAACCTCGGCATCATTTGGATTATTTTTCGCCAGTAGTTTTAGTTTCACCCCAGTTATATTGGTAGAACTAATACCATTGGAAAGATTTACAACAGCTTACGGTCTTACTTTACTTTGCCAAGGTATTGGAAATCTTTTAGGACCACCGCTGGCCGGTTGGTTATTCGACATAACAAATTCATGGGAAATGTCATTCATGATGGCTGGTTTGTGGATCATTGTTGCTGGATTATTAATCGGTATCATACCTTTCACCAAAAATCGGAAGATTTGGGGTAGCGGTCTGATCGAAATGGAACGATTAACTTTGACCCAGAATCAAGCGTAGTTTGATACTTTTTTGTTTTTGTTTTTTTTTTTTTTAACATAGATTCAATTAGAAGCGTGATCTAGGCATGCATTTATCTTTCTTCCTTCTTTTTCTTTTCTCCCCCCCTTTGATCTTTTAGTATTATAAAAAAAAAAACAAAGTGAGATTTAAATAATCGCGAATTAAATTAATCATATTAATAAATTCATTTTCATTTATAAGAGAGACAAGTATTTTCTCAATTGTTAAATGTGTGGTGTATACCTTATTATTATTATTATCGAAACTTAGGCCAATTTTGATTGGATCTATTTAAATCTTGCTATATCTTTTTACAAGTACACCTATCGTGCCAGGACAAGCAGTTGTCCCTGTTTCTAGTCTTATTAGAATAATAATAATAATAATAATAATAATAATAACGAGTGTCTCGAACTATTACTTAATTGTTAATCATTTTGTAATATAAATGAATTTATATAATTGTTAATTTTATTTAACATTAATTCAGATATATGATGTTCGTTTATTGATTTTCTATAATTATCTATCTATAATTATGTTAATGTTGAGCTTTAAGCGCCTGAACGTTGACGTCAATTCATACTTGGTCGATAATTGCAGTTACCAATGTCATCGATATATAAAAACTGTGTTGGTAGGAAATATTTTATTTTTTAAATTCCTTATGATATGCAAATCGATCTCGTTTGATGTACAAATTGTTGCCTATTGTAAAGGGGTTGATTAAACGTTTTCTTTTTTTTTTTTACCGATAAATGGCACTTGCAAGTTAAATTTATCGACCGAGTAAATGTAAAAAGTGTTGCATACCTACAGGCAACTTGATATTAACATAAATCATTGTAAACCTTCTTCTATAAATAATTGTATTTGTTTTTTGTTTTTTTAAACTTCGATTTTCATAATGAAATATTTGGCTATGCCGAAAATGAAAAAATTACCCATGGTCGTGCCTAATATATTAAGTGATGTGCCTTCGATGTATTTAGGAGCAGAATTTTTTGCAGGGCTTCCAAACATCGAAGCTATCGATGAATAGCAAGCGCGAGCAAATTTCATAATCTAATTATAAGTATATTGTTGTAAACTCGTGGTTCCCAATGTAAAGTACACGGTCTACAAAAAAAAAAGGAACAAAAAAAAACAAATTGTATTTTAAAAAAGGGGATACATTTTTAGAATGATATTTGTTAAGCAAATTTTCGTAATATTATTTCTTCTTTTCATAAATTTCATGATTCGTAAAAGTTTGTTCAGACCAAGGCCAACACTACTATTTTATCCGAACAAATAATTTCACGATTTTATCTTCTCTTTCGTTATCATAAATTTATAAGACATATACTATAGTAGTGGTAAATTGTTTCTTGGAATTGATTTATCGATCTTCGCGTGTTCAGGAATTCGATTACTTTTATTAAAGTTTCTATGAACCTCTCTATATGGGATAGTCAGAATTTAATTTTAAACTTTGAATAATAAAAATGATATCTTACAGAGACGAATGCATTAGAATTTGAAGTAGTTGCCAATAAAATTGGGAACCACTGTTATAAATCTATGTACAATGAATTATACACAATGCTTACGAGTTCAAGAAATAATTCTGCATGCGTTTTCTTTCTTTATTCTTTATACAATGAATATTGTTCTTATGACTGTGCATCGAAAATGTTTCTTTTTTATTTCATTTCATTTCTTTTCACGAACAATGATTTTTTAAAAAGGTGAATATTAAAATCAAAATTATTTCTTCGATATAATTCACAAGAATAGCAATTCAATGGTTGCAATGTGATTAGTTTTACGATTAAAGAATTATTTTGTTTTCGATTTAATTGGAGAAAATACATGAAAGAAAATTATTTCACAAAATACGAAAAAAAACCAAGATCTTTTTATATAATCTTATTACCTGTTCCATTAAAACGATAAATTATTTGTCAAAAAATTCAACAGATCTATTTAATCTCTTATAGCAAATTTTATATCTTATCTTTCGCGGAGACTAAATAAATTTATTAGCCGAATAAAATACGCGTTCGTTCTTTACGAGAGTAATAAACGTTTCCGATATTTTTATCTAAATTCTTAAATAAATACATAACAAGCAATCTTTACGAAGTCTCGCATATTGTAAAAAAGAAATAGAACGATAAGTATGCAAGAAAAAAAAAAAAAAAAAGAAGAAACAGTAAATCTTGCAGTCTAATTAGATATTGAAGAAATAATTCAATCTAATAGTAAAAATCGTATCTTCATTTTTCTATTAATCTTTTTCTTATACACAATTAAAAGAGATTAATATATTAATTAATATAAAAATGATATTTTAATCAAATTCTAAGAGTAAATCTATTTTCTCTTTTTACAATCTATTTTCTATAATCAATATAAATAATATTAAGAATTCATTCCGACTTATTAAAAATATAATCTAAAATATATCTATATCAATTATAAAAATCTAATTTTTCTATATAAAAGTCATATACATTAGATTTACGATATACTACGAAGATAATATTCTTCGCAAAAAGAATAAATTTACTTTAGGTGTTTGACTGACACGTACTTCAAAGCAACGAGTACACGTGATAAGTATGAAAATCGATAATGTTAGTCGAGATTTGGGTCAGCTTCTTAAGATATGAATTTTACAATGACGTCAAGTCTTAAAACTAGACTTACGAATCCATCTTAAATTCGATCAATTTCATTCAACTATTTCTTAGTCATTTAGTTTGGAATATATAATAAAAAAAACAATCAGAATTATTTATCCTTCCCAGATATTCCAATAAAATGAACACAACGATCAGTTCTAACGATTCGTTTGATTTGTTTGTTTACTACTAAATGTTAATTAATAATATCAATATCCAGGTGACGTGGTTGGACTAACTGAGTGTGGACTCGGACTACGACTTTGATGTTCTAAAACTGGAGTTTTAGGAACTCCAACTAAAGTTGAAAGATTTCTCAAACTTTTTGGAAATGTCCTGGTGATGATCGAGTGTTGTGGACTAATTAAAGCATCACCCATGACACCCAAACGCACACCATTCCCATATCTATGCAATGTTATCGACATATCTAAAAAGGAAGATAAACAAATTCATTAGATTACGGAGATATTTTAATATGTCGAGTTTAAAATTATTGAAAATGAATTTACAGCAATTTCCTTGCGGTGGTCTCCAATAAATAACAGAATCTACATCTTCTACAGGTAAATTACCATCGATGTGAGTCAACGACAACGTGTATCTTTTCGATAATTGATTGAGTATCAATTTAAGGAATATCGATGGAAAGAACGAAGATATCAAACCACGCGATGCTTCGGCAGCTGTTATAGCATAAATTGCACTTTGTTTTGCTCTGGCTTCTTGTACGTTTTTTTGTATAACCTTGAAATATTAAATTGATCAAGAATTAGAAACGAGTAACAAAAAAATTCAGGACAAATTTGTAGAATTTTATGGATAGAATTATTACCTGAAGAATTTCAAGTAAATCATCCTCGAAAAGTGGAGTTCTAGTTGGTAAAGCCAAACATAGAATACCACGGGCTTCGTGATTACGCAAAAAAATGGCTCTCTGATTGACGAATTTTGCTATAGTCAAAACATCGTCAGGAATATTCATACCGGAATGCATGAAATATTTTTTCAAGGAATCAACGATTGCTGTCAATAGGATTTCGGTATTCGTAGCTCCCGTAACACTTGAAATTTTTCTCAATAGATCCAAACTGACCTCATCGGACCAAGCGACAACTTTTCTACCGCATCGTGGTATAATTTGCAATTTATTAGCATGAGGATGTTTTAAAAAAAGTTCTTCGAGTATTAATTTAGGTGTACCTATTGCTATCCAAGTAATGGAGAACACTTCTATGGTTGCTTGAATTATCAATGGTAAATAACACCATATCATAGAAGTCAGAGTTTCCGGATAGAAATGTTTCTGTTTCGATTGCAATGCTTGAAATTCTTTAATCATCAATAATGGTACTTTCAATGTTAGCGTTATTAATAAGTACCATGACCATGCTATTATCGAATTAATTGTGTTCATTGGATTAAGGGCTCTGACAAAGCCAAAAAATATTACGGACACTCCGAAGTTTCTTTTGTTGACTTCTCGTTGAAGTATAAAAAACATGTCGAATAATTTAAGTCCTTCGGATTTTCTGTACTGTCTGTAAATTAAAGAAACAAATGTTCTGATAATTCTAACGAATAATATAAACAGAGCACATTGCGCGTGTGTCTCAGATTAATTAATATTTATTTGTTTGACTACCTTGTCAATTCTTTAAATGTTGCAACCAACACGATCACTCCGATTTTAACGCATTGAAATATACCAATTTGTTTCTTCATTATTTCTGGTCGTTCTATCGGATCATTGTTGCAAAGAAATTCGTTCCAATGATTGCTGAAATTTTCAGTTAATTTTTGATGAAGTTTAGGCAAAGCCGATGGTTCCACGTAAAGATCAGTGAACGGTGAATCGGTTTCCTGGCAAGCCCAATTGTCGGATGAACATTTCAATGGTAGAAAATCGGCAGGTGAAAGATGTTCCAAACGAATTAACAAATGATGTACTCGTACCAAACATATTTGATATTCCTCGTCGTTGAACAAACAATTGATAACGTGTACTTGCCACGGTGATCTGTCAATTGGCAGAAATTTCGATGTAACGTCGCTCACGTATTCCTGCAAAGCAAACAAAAATAATATATTATTCATTTAAAAGAAAAAACACGGTACTCGTGTTAAAAAATTATCGTTTCTCGCTGTTACCGAAAATAATAATAATAATATTAATAATAAGAAGCGCGAGAACGTTAAAATAAAAAACAAGCTTTATTGTTAGATTCGAATTTTTCGAATTTTCTACAAGCTCGTCGCAATAGATTCGATTAATACAACGTAAAACGTAAGATATCTTTGAACTCGTTGATAATTGTTTAACTGTTTTCGTTGTAATAACGAGCGATAAGCTCGACTGCTTTTAACCGAACCACCAGTTCTTGTCGTGATATCAAAGGTCAAAAATATATTTCTATGCAATATTAATGTTATTTTTTTAAACGTATAAATGTGTTGGTTAATTGAAAAAAAAAGAAAAAAGAAAACAACAAATGAAACTTTAAAAAAAAGGTTTGACCGTATAGAATTATTTTCCATATTAAATTGAAAACATATTAACCTACCACCAACGTAAATGCAACGATTCGAATGATCTCGATTAGGCTTCTTCCATTAAATAATTTCTTAGTTAAAAACCTGAATATTGGATTCGGTGATAGGTCTATTCCGAAAGGAACATGGCGAATTAATAAGATGATTGTCCAAGGAAAATTGTTCGTTATCCTTCCATAGATAAATATTCCATTTCGTGGACAATGTTAATCTTAGAAGTTTCTTGTTAGACGTCAAATGTAACAAATGACTTCTCATACCTTCGGCAATCGATCGGCCTTTAACAAACAGCGTGTATATTCCCTAAGAACAAAATAAATAAACACTAAAGAAACATATTAAATAATCAAATTTCCTTTTTCTCTACGAATTATACAATAATTTTACTCTTTTGTTAATAATCGTTTTACAATACTCACATGATTTCTACCTTGATCCAATATACTTCGAATATTATTATCCTCAACGACAATGCAATTAGGATATTTCCATTTGACGAAATTGATCAAACACTTTTTCGACCATGTCGTAACTTAAACAAAAATACAAATAAAAATAAATGATAATTATGGTGATTCACTAATGGGATTAAATCGAAGTTTGAATTACCAAGATAAAGGAAGAAAAAGATCGGTAATAAAATCATTCCGAATAATGTTATAAAAATAAGATTCATTGGTATGGCAAGACTGAACAAATCCGTCAATTGGAATGACGATGACGATGATATGACAACCATGATTATATTAAACTATTATACTACTTTTTTTCTCTAATTTTTCAGATACTTTTTTTTCTTAGTATCGAAACTTTGCGAATTGTTTGAAATATAATATGGTAAACGATTATCGAAATGTGTTTTCGCTTAGTACCGATTCATATTACTGATAGATCAGACTACTTGACGTTCCTCTTTGATCGATGACCGCAGTTGACCTCACTCATGAAAAAGAAGAAGATAGAAAATACTATAACTGTTACGTTTATAAAAGATATAATGACCTTTTTTTTAAAGCTACTCTTTTTCTTTTACATTACAAGTGTCTTATGAATTCATTTCTTTAAATCTAACAAATTAAATTTTATAATACGAATATGACAATACAATATATAATGTAATTATATTTAAAATTATTATAATAATATATTGAAGATATTTTTTATTTTAATATTTTATTCAGTACTATTTACGATACGACTTACCGACTAAGATCTGATGGTAACTTACCATCAGAATTACCGACTGAGATCTGATGGTAACTTATCATCGGAATTACCGACTGAGATCTGATGGTAACTTASTATCAGAATTACCGACTGAGATCTGATGGTAACTTATCATCGGAATTACCGACTGAGATCTGATGGTAACTTACCATCGGAATTACCGACAATAAAAAAAACGCGAAAATAAAGAATGCAATTATGGGTTTTAAATGAGCAATTAGTGAGCAATTAACTGCAATTATTTTTTTCTTTCTACGGTAAAAATTTTTTATTTTTCGTATGATAAAGGTAGAGCACTACTATTACCAAAATCGGCTTAGCCATGTTACTAGAATTTCAATATATTTGAAACTTTCTTATTTCCTAGTAACTTTTAGTAACTAGAAGTATACACAAAGTGAATGTGTAATTAAATTCTATTATACATTTAAAAACATATAGCAATTAGAAATCTAATATAGATATTTTGTTATATATTTATATTAAAGTGAAATGTTAAAGTTTAAGAGTATGTACAGTATATTCTTAAGAAAAATTATAATTTAATTATTAAAGAATCTTTACGTAAAAAACATACGAACTTTCTTTAGATACGGCTGATAATTTTAAAACATTTAGATAGTTAAGTACTGCTTTTATATACGGTAATTATTTAATAACAAACTTCGCATTAACTTCAATTATATTTTTTTTTTCTTATCCAAACAAAAAATGTATAACAAAAAATATATATTACTCGCAAATCACAGTATATAAAAATATCTAGTAAAATAAAGAACGTAAAACAAATATGCAATCAATAATACAACATTATGATAATTTAATATAGGAAAAAAAAAATATGATAATTCGTTAAATGTATTTGTTTTATTTATGTCGAATCATATGAGCTTTTGGTAGCATAAAAATTCCAAAATACCCAAAATAAGGAACACCCTAATATATACATATTCACGGTAATTGTGGGACCTAAAAAGAAATACATTGATTGTAAAAATGTACATTACGTTTATTAATTAATTAATATGACGATTCGTAATGTGCGTCACGATGCACCTTACGAAATATCAAGTGAATTACAAACAGGCGCTAAAGATATAACGTATCTCCTAAACGGGGGGGGCGCCATTACGAATTGGTTAATTATTGGGGTGTGGAGGGTTGATGGGGAAAAAATAGAAGGGAGAGGAAAAAGGGAAGGAGAATGAATGAATTGTAAAAAAGGAGAGAAATACGGAATACCGTCGTCAATTGCAATAATAATACTACTACTACTACTTATAATAATAATTAATAGCTAATTCGAATTTGTTTATATATATATATATATATCTATATGCATATGTATAAACAAAAAAGATTGAAAAAAACGGATTTAGATATATATATATATATATTTATCATCGTAAGCTTCTATTTTTAATTAGTTCTCTTATTCTTATCTTTCTTACGTTTTTAAAAAGCCAGCCCGATTATAAAACAAACGATGAAAGACGATAAGAGAATAATTAAAGGGGGGTAGTTAGTTAGTATGTTAGACGACGAGGGTGGAGGTGGTTGGGAGATGATGATGATGATTACGTACGAGAAGGAATGACGAATACGCGAACGTCGTATTATAATTCATTATTTTCGATACAGGCATAGTGCTACACGGTTTCCTTTTAAATGACAGTGACCGTTACGTATTTATGTTATTTCATGATATTATTATTAATATTATTATTATTATTATTATTATTATTATTTATATATATATCTTATGTTTTAATTATATTCATATTTATATATATGCATGTATATATAAATATATATATATATATTTATACATACATTTTATTATACTTTAACGTAAAAACTATATTATAAATATATATATTATAGCTTAGTAACTTCTAACGCGGGGGGAAAAAAGGGGTTGAGGGTGGTGATAATATTTACACAGCCTTGGACCGTTGTTATTGTTTTTTTTTTGTTTTGTTTGCATGGTCCAGATATTCCTGTTAAATTTTTTCATTTGTTTAAATCTTCGCACGCTCTATTGAATGATGATAATAATAGAATTATATATCGATAGATAATATATAATGATAATTATTGACGACGATGATAACGGTGGTGGAGGAATAAAGGGCTTAGCAAAGGGGAGGAGTAATTTGTTTTATCATTTTCATTTTTAGTTTCTTTAACCACAACCCCTTCCTCCCCCGACCTCCCCAAAGAAACTCGATTATTTCAATTTGTTATGTATATGGATGACGTTCGTTAATAAGTTGATTAATTATTGTTGATAACATCGTAGAATATTTATGCATCTTTCAATGTAGTAATTATTATTATAACTAGTGTGTTATTAACATTTATACATAGTATAATCAAGTTTCTCTCGCATGCATATGTATGCACACGTTCACACTCCCCCTCCTAGCTTTATATTGTTCTTTTTTTATTCTTATTTATTTCTTTTTATTAAGCATTAAATCGTACTACAAACGACAGCTCGATTATGGTTGTTTTTGTTGTTGATCGTGTATCGAAATATAAAAAGGAATATAAAAAGTATGAAACGAACGTGTATGATTGTAATGATAGAATAATTATGAACAATAAATCAATCGTTATTTTAATCTTTCTAATTAATTCATTAATTAATTGTTATATGTTCGTTTATATATATATGCACCGTTATTAACGAATTAATAAATCACTTAT